ATAAGAAATTCTTTCTTCCATTCTGTTAAAATATCTTTTTGAATTAAAAGAAAAGAAAAACAGCAATGAAGGAAACAGAAAGCAGCTGCTGGAAGCAGTTTGTGAAAGTCCTAGTTGCAGCATCTGTCTCTGTTAAGCAGCCGTGCACGCATACAGCTGCAGTATTTCTGGGTGAAATGTCTTTTAAATGTTTCCATCACTTATCATTTTCTGAATGTAAATAAAGCATGAGATCTTATGGCCTGCTTCTATTTATATTAGAGCATTAAATGAAGGGTTCATACTGTAGGTAGGTCGCCATGATTTACTGTCTTCAAGCTCATGCTCACTATTATCTATTTTTTTCTATCGACAAAGGAAATAGCTATATTTATTGCTGTTCTATGCCGTCGTGTTTTAAAGGCTCAGAAAAATCTTTTTACATGTAAGTTCTGATCCATCTCGGTGTGTTTTTAGACTGGTGCAAGTAAGATGATGTTCTTTTGATGCTAAAACAGTGAGCTACATGTGTCACTGCCTTGTTCGGTCTCACCAAGGAAATGTTGTTTGTGAGCTTCTCATTTTTTTGGGAAATTCTCGAGGATAAAAATAAAAGTGTTTGTAAAGGTTGGCTGTGTCTTGACCTTACTGTGTGGAACTTTAAACCCTATTTATTTCTGAAATACAAGGTGAGAAAGGAGTTCGCTTTTATAATTGACCTGTTCTGGATTTTTTTTTTAAGTAAAGAAACATTTAGGTTATTGATATTTTTCTTTTTTTGTTATTTACCAAAATAGAAAGACAATACTGATGCTTAAAGTATACAGTAGAAGTTAAATTGACTTATGTTTTAATAACATGATTTATTCTTATTTATTCAACCATTGTTTTAACATTTTACCAACTGTATTTTGCTTTTTAATCCACTAACACCATGCAGAGTATAAATGACCCTTGACTGTAGATAATTTAAATTAAATCAATTTTTCTCTTCCCTGTCACAACAGAACAAATGAAATTGAAAGAAATATACTCTAAAGATCTGCTTTTTAGATGTCATGTCTGATTTGACAAACCCACAAGTTGTATTCTTTTTAGTAGAATAAAATAGAAACTATTAGATCTACAAAAATAAGACAGTTTTGGAAAATGTCTTGAATCTTGAAGCAAGAAATGGGTTGAAGGCAGTAAAAGATATAAAGTCTCATTCCTGTTGTCATTTACAACAGGTTAAGACACTTTTATCATTTAAAAAACAGCATATCTGACTATGGTACACTGTAAAAATAATTCAATAATAAATGCAGGGTAAAGAAAAGTTAAACCTAAACAAAGAAAAAAAGTCACTAAATGTTAAGAAGTATAAATATTAAACAAAACTATTGAACTGGGAGTACAGAGAATTGGGTAAGAGTGAAATACTCACACAGGTTTAAAGGGCAGGGAGTGTTGTATTGATTTAAAAAAAAAAAAGACACAAGTAAATGAACCAGCCTGAAGAGCAAAGTGAAAGCAGTCCTCGGGTGGCGGGTCTAGAACCAATTTATCAGAGGAGTCAAGGTGAGACCAGTATTTCCTTTTTAAGTAATTAAAAAACAGAGCAAATGTTCATTATTTGAAATATTAAGTGAAACAACAAACCTCACATAGAGCAGATGAAAACAGTGATATCATATCTGAATATGGCTTAAGCTAAAAATGCAACAGCTTAAATTTTCCATTGTCGTTCAAATAAAACTGGTCCAAGAGATCTTTCATTTACAGTTTCTGTACAAGCACATATCATTTATTAATCATACATTTATTTAGTGTAATCTATTCACTTCAGGGCCATAAGGGGCCCTGGCACCTATAGAACTGAGGCCCCTGTCTCGAACCGCCCATGCAATCCTCGTTTTGGAACCACCCAAAGCACCCATTCAACATATTAGAAAGAGACAATCGTTGGGGATGTATCCATACAGAAATATTATTAAAAATAGTAATAGATAGAAAAAAAAAAAATTACTTTAAGATAAGATAAATTACTTTGGCAAATATAGCCAAACTACTGCAGTCAGGCTAGTTCTAATGAGACAAAGCAAAGCAAGTTTATTCAAATTGCACAGTTCAAAATATATGAAAAAACACACAGAGAAAACCACAGTGGAATTACAATACATAAAGGTAATTAAATTAATAATGAACATGAAAAGCTGCCTTGCGGCAAAAAGGTTCTGGGTTCATTTCCCAGCCCAGGATTTTTCTGCATTGTGTTTGCATTTTCTCCCTGTGTATGCGTGGGTTCTCTCCGGGTACTCCGGCTTCCACCCACAGTTCAAAAACATGACTCTAAGGTTCATTGGCATCTCTTAAATTTTCCTTAGGTGTGAGTGTCTGTGTGTGCATGGTTTTATCTCTGTGTTGCCCTGTGACATACTCGCGAGCCATCCTGGGTGTACCCCACCTCTCGCCCATAGAATGCCGGAGATAGGCACTGGTCTCACCGCGACCCTTCAGAATAAATGGGGGAAGATGGATAGATGGATGAACATGAAAAATCAAAGAGAATAAAATAAATAATTAAAATCCTAAGATACTTTAAAAAAACGGACAAACGTATGAAAGAACGAAAAAGTGAGGACGCAGGCAGCAGCGTTCTGGATCAACTGCAGATGTCTGATGCATTTTTAGGCAGACCTTTAAAGACGCTGTCACAGTTATCAGTTCTACTAAAGATGAACCCATGAATATGTTCAAAGGTAAAAAAAAAAGGGAGAACATTACACTTTTATGAGATAATAATGACTGGGAAGTACAGTTTTTAAATACCGTAGCTTGTGTACTGAATAGACTTGGTTTTTGACAAATATCTCAACTAAAAAAAGCAGGATTTTATTGTAGTTTATTTGACTGTGAAGTTTTAGATGAAGATCTTTCTTTATTACCAAGTGTGTCAATTTTTTTAAATAATGCAAGGAATATCTTTATGTTAATAAATTTAAACAAGATGACCTGTCTCTTGTTCTCAATAAATAAAAGTTAAACATTCAACTCCCAGTAATAAGATAGTAAAGGGATGGCTTGACAGATCATCCACAAACTGACAGGAACCTGCATAAAGAAAAGAATTGGTGAGTCCAGAGTCTGAAACCTGTACAACATTTCATCTCTCCTTCTCCCTCCTCTCTTATGTTGCAGAGAGAATTACAAAACGACGGTCTCAAGAACCAAAACAAGATACAACTTATTACATCTTTCAGTTATTTACTATAAATCTATGGCACTGGAAAATGTGACCATGCAGCTATGAGGGATCCCAGAAGCTTTCCATTTGGACTTGATTCTGTTGATCCTGCAGAGTTCTGTGCTCTAAAAAATAAACAACATATGTCTGTAGCTGAGAAAAAAGAATGGGTCAGTTTCATTCTCTTCATTTATTTTAACACACAGTGTATAAGAATTCTTCCAGGATCCAAATCATAACTACAAGTCTAAAACTACTATTTGTACTATTTCTGATAAAAATGACAATATATAAATAAATGAATGTATGACTTGTGAAGGCATGTAGTATGGCAAGAGGCTGCTCAGTGGCGCAGTGCCTAGCACTGCTGTCTTGCAGCAAGAAGCTGCGGGTTTGATTCCCTGCCCGGGATCTTTCTGCATGGAGTTTGCATGTTCTCCCTGAGCATGTGTGGGTTTTCTCTGGGTACTCTGGCTTCCTCTCACAGTCCAAAAACATGAGTGATAGGTTAATTGGCTTCTCTAAATTCTCCTTAGGTGTGAGTGTGTGCATGAATGGTTGTTTGTCCTTTTTGTCTCTGTGTTGCGCTGTGATGGACTGGCAACCTGTCCAGGGTGGACCCTGCCTCTCGCCCATAGACAGCTGGAGATAGGCACCAGCACCCCTCGCGACCCTACTCGGGATAAAGCGTGCCAGAAAATGGATGGATGTATGAGAGTTAATTTCATGATGAAAAAATAAACTGGTATTAGTTGAATATTTTTTATATACGCTTATGAAATAAATTCTTCTTTGATTAGATCATATTTTACCCTTAGTAAGAGTATGGTGCAATTATGATACAATATCTCCCACGCTGAAAAAAAAAAATAATAATAATAATAAAAAAATTTATATATATATATATATATAATATAATATAATGCAGGCAGGAAGTGCATACATGGAACGCCACAACCAGGTAGATGTCATAGTGTACAGGAACATCTGCCATGAGTATGGGCTGGAAGTCCCAAGGTCAAAATGGAAGACACCTCCTAAGGTAGTTGAGAATGACCGAGCTAAGATCCTATGGGACTTCAAGATCCAGACTGACAAACAGGTGATGGCTAACCAACCAGACATCGTGTTGATCGACAAACAGCAGAAGAAGGCAGTAGTGATAGATGTGGCAATCCCAAGCAACAGCAACATCAAGAAGAAAGAACACGAGAAGCTTGAGAAATACCAAGGACTGAAGGAGGAGCTAGAAAAGATGTGGAAAGTGAGAGCAGTAGTGGTGCCAGTGGTAATTGGAGCACTGGGGGCTGTGACCCCCAAACTGGGAGAGTGGCTACAGCAGATTCCAGGTAAAACATCAGAGGTCTCTGTCCAGAAGAGCGCAGTCCTAGGAACAGCTAAGATACTGCGCAGAACCCTCAAACTCCCAGGGTTCTGGTAGAGGACCCGAGCTTGAGGATGACACATACCACCCCACGAGGGGTGAGAAAACAGTTTTTTTTTTTATATATATATAACATTTCTTAATTTTGTTTTATTTGGGCTATCCCTAACCCAAAAGAAGATAATTCGCTCAATTCTAGGATAAAAATATTTAAGATAATCAAAATTAACAGCCCACTTTACAGTTTACCTGATATCTGATCTGAACCATATGTAAATGAATAAAAAAAAAATAAAAATAAAGAGAGTCTTAAAAGCGCTTTTACTGCTCATTTGTAATCTATTATAACAGAGAAGAAAAAGGAGATAAATATCCAGGACCTACTTTTAAGCAGTCTGTCCGTGGTGTCTTTGAACGCACCACGGGTTGGTTTTCTTGTAGTACAGCCGTATGAAGGTCTGTGTTGGGAAAGTCCACAATCAGAGCGCTGTGTTGCTGCTGCCACCTAAAAACAGACAGATATATAAAACTATTCTCCCAACGGACCCATGACACTTTCCTAGGAAGGCGAGGTGAGTCTTAAAGCGACGTTTTGTATTTTTCTAACTACGTAACATTTATTAAATCGATTTTCACAGGCCTTGGTGCTTTCGCTTCTAAGAAGCTAGAGATGGGCACCGGCTATTTCCTGGTCAATGGAATTGCTAGTTAGCTCGCTGGTCAGCTAATGTCAAGAAACATTTCTTTATTCCTTTTTTTAATCAAATCTAGAAGTATAACTGGTGCTACATAACCGAGTGGCTTTAATAAGATGTTAGGGTTAGAATGTTGGTATGGGAAGAAAAAATGTTTCACGGTGTAGCCCTGTCCTTGTTTTTGGTAGCTTTGTTTAGCTAGATGTAATTTGACAGACTGTCGCATCATATTCTCGTAATTATTTTTTTTTATCGTTGTGGCTCCTGTGTTGTTTTTACGTTTTGTTGCAGCACTCCTTTCAACAATGGAGAAGGCTCCCTTCAGGCAGACCCAGACCTTCGGGGACTGGGAGCTGAAGGAAAGGTTGGGTATAGGAGGCTTTGCCCATGTTTACCTCCTCCAGAACTGCGTGAGTGTCGTCACAGGAAGTCGTCACCATCACTGATCCCTGTTTCATTACCTCATAATTTTCCTTCCCATTGTCATTTATATTCTCTTTTACAAAATGCTTACACTTTTTAAAGCAAACAAACAAATAAAACAAAAACTTAAAAAAACAACTATAAAATAAACATAATTTTTTAGTTGAACTATTGAAAGTAGGGGTATTGGTCCAATACTTTTAGTGATCACATTGTTCCAGAGCCAGTTTGAACACTATTTCACTTATTTTTTATTGCACACAAAAAAACTACACAAATCACATTTGTGTGGTTTTTCAATGAGAAAAAGTAAATGAAACGGATAGCTTCCACATTTACTGAATTTTATTCCAGTACCATGCAAGTTTAATTACAGTATACTGCTGTGCGCAGACATAACTCTGGTAGCCTGCTGCCACCGGTGCATTTTTTTTTTTTACAAGTCTGAAGTTTGAAACAAACCTTTTCATAGAACAACAAAATAGAAGATAACTGCATAGCCTATAGAAAATTAAAGCTAGCCTACGTCTGTTTTGTATTGCGGATCTGCTGCGCCGCATTAAGAAATCACTTCACATATTAATCCATGATTCCCTGGATCAGAGTGTTGTCATACACCGAGTTCACTTCTTCTTCAAAATTATTTAAAAGGTCAAAGATTTTGAAACCAACATGCAAGAGACCAGTCTTTAAAATGCAAACTGCATTCCTCATTTCAGCTCTGGTAGAGACAACGGTCTCTTCTTCTTCATCCTTCTCTTTGCTGCGTGCAGCACTGGTACCCGCACCAAAGCGCTCTTGTACTCCTGTGATCTGTCCTCATCCGTCACAGGCTCTGGCATCACTTTCGATCCACTTATTAATTATTTTTGCACATGTTTACATTCAGAAAATGGCCAAAAATGAACACTATAAGCAGATTTCTTGATTACTGTAAACAAATTATTTAAACAGCATTTGTATAGAAATGATTCTGTCCCAAGCCTTTTGAACACTATAAGGGATTGATTACTATATCCGTGACCACGATAAGCGGTTTCCACTGTATTAGTTAAAAACTAATATCGGATTTTATCTGCCGACATCTAAAATCTCAGATATTTTTTATACTGATAGAAACAATCTTTTTTTAACTCATTGGCTATTTTACATGGGTCCGTTGTTTTCATACATTTTCTTTTTGATTTTTCGTCCCTGTTTTAGGAATGTTACTTGAACAAGCCTTTTGTAACATTCTATAGTATAAAATTAGTAGGGGTTTAAAGAATAATCATGTTGTATCGATGCATCGATCCTACAGCTGACGATCCTATGCATCGACATGTCTGCAAGAGTATCGATTCATGTTTTTTTTTTCCCTCCGGTCTATTTTTATCCATTTGCTCCTGAAAGTAATTCTTACTCCCGTGCTGCGGTGGCGCTAAACCTATTTTGCCCTCCTACCGCGCTTCCTTTCGCCACTACCCTCTTTCCGCTTGCAGTATTTTTTGATGCAAGGCCTTTCAGAATCCATAACACAGAGGCATTTTTTTTTCAGTGAATGAGGTTTTCATAGGCCTAGGTGGTCAACAACTTTGCTACTTCTGTTATTTGCTGTTGTTTCTCAAATAAAATTCATAACGATATTACAGCTTTCATTGATTTATTTAGAATTTTAGAAACGGAGCAGCATAAAGTGCATTCTGCATCCTTGTTGCTTTTAAACAATGTAAATAATCCCTGGTCCGTACTCTGGATTGATTCATGCCTCTGCTCCATCAGAACTTCTCTTGCAAATTCCAGTGAGGCTCCGACAAAGAATGAACAGGGACGGCGGTAATTAACACTTTTTCAGTTAAACTAGATGTGATGGAATAATCCACTGGAACAAAATTTTATCTAATAAACCATTAAAGCTACAGTGTGTAATTTTCAGCGACATCTAGCGCTCAGACTGCAGACTGCAGCAACATGAACATCTCCCCCCCACCGCTTCTCCCCCCCAACAGTACGGCGAGCGTTACGGGACAAAATGTCTTCCACGACGTCCGCATTACCTACTTTCTCAAGTAATGAGGTTTGTTTACATAGATAATTTTACAGATAGTATTTCATTAGTCTGTGTAGGGTATAGATTTCATGTAGACTTAAGATAATAAATATACCCGTAATTTTTTCTACATCGTTGTGACGTTTTGGTGAGCTGCTTTGCATGGTGATATAAACAGACAAAGTAATTGTAGTCATTAGTTTAACAGCGAGATTGTGTTCGCTGGAAGAATATATATTCCCCGTTTACAGAGTCCAAGTCTTGTTTGTGGCACGGGGGTTACAAGGCGAGGAAGAGGGAGAGGAAGAGGGCGAGGAAGAGGGCAGAGAGGCCGTGGTGGGCGTGCAGCCAGGGCCAGGCGAGAGAGAGGTGAAAGCGGGGTGACTAGAGCAGTGGAGGAAAGGCTTGAAGATCTCCAAAGGAGCCGGAGAGAAGTAACCGAGGTATATATCCGTAGCTCGCTAATATGCAGCTTCATATATCTGTCTCTCTCACACTCACACACGCCACTATCAGCTGTGGTAATTTTATGAAGCTGTGGCCTTATCTAGGTAATGCTACCAGACATCTTGACAATAGTTTGGTTGAAACTGGATGTGGGGGTGGGGTATTACGTGTATAAAAAGACAATTGTGTGTGTAGGATTAATTACCTGTCCAAGAGAAAACTGGCAACTTGAGCGTCACTTTGAAAACCTTTTTCCTCCATCAGTGACTTCCATCGTGTAAATGCTGTGCCAATGTTGATCCGTGTTTTTTGTCACGCTTGCGTTTATTCTCGTCGTGTTTCCGCTTCTTAGATGACGGGGGTTCGGTGTCCGCCGCTTTTCGTTGTGATACAGAGTAGGCATGATCCTCCATTCGTCTGATGTTTGGCCACACAGTTTGCAAAGTCACTCATGCCTGCCGCCTTGTTCACCTTTCTTGTTACTGAAGCGCAGCATACCTGCTTCTTCTTCTTTGGTTTCAGGCAGACTAAACGCTTTTCAGGCATAATACTGCCATCTATTGTTCAGTACCGTCTCAGTTCATCTCTCTCAACTTGCCGTAGTTACTTTTGAGCGTAATGGGCGATCTCGCAATCGCTAGTTTGTTGCCTCTGCGCTTGCCGTAGCGCAAAGATGTCTGCCTCCATGGCTGCGAGACCCGCTCCTATGTAATTATAAATAACGAATTCTAAGGCAACGCAGATATTATGGTTAAAAGGCTGAGCTCATAGGTGATGATAAATAACATAGTTATGTATAATATATTCAATTTCTGACTTTATATCCCTGTAATTATTACACACTGTAGGTTTAATCAACGGTTAATTTTAAATCAGTTATTTATTTACCACCCTATATCACACTAGGAATGGTTAGTTATTTTCAATATAATCTCAATTTTACATAAACTTAGTTTTTTGATTTCAGAAGGTCTAAATTTTGGTCACATTACATTCAACAAAAGTAAGACACTCTCACTCTGGATCTTTGTATGGAAGTAATATTCTAGAAGTGAGTTTGACGGCACACAGAAGGAAAGAGAGAGTAGCAAAACTGTTTTATTTTCCCCCCAGCTTTATTTTTCCTTTGAACACTTGGTAGCACCTTCTGCTGATTCTTTCAAGTGATGCATTGTTTCTCTCTAATCTGTTTTTTTATATGTATAGCAATCAAAGGAAAAAATAGCAGTGAAAATGTGTCGTCTGGACCTCACACCAAGGAACAGGGACAGATGGTGCAGAGAAATACAGATCATGAAAAAGTAAGTACCCCATTTTTGAATTTCACTCCTCTGACGTACTTGACCTGAAGTTCTGCTGTCTTTCAAATAACTTAAGTTATTTTAAACAACTTGAAGATGTTTTGAAGCTAAATTTCTTTTTGCAGATGGTATAAAACGATTTAGAGTGTCTGTAATTTTTGTCCCTCTCACTCAGGCTGGAGCATGTTAATGTCGTGACTGCAAAGGAGGTCCCAGAGGAAATTAAGACGATTGCCTTAAATGATCTTCCGCTCCTGGCCATGGAGTACTGCTCCAGGGGAGACCTGAGAAACGTGAGAGTTCCCCACTTTGTTTTTGTTGTTGTTTTTTTGTTTACATCAGTTCAACCACAAACTGAATTTTAATTGAGAAAATCAGCGGAATACTTCCAGACATTTTTCCATCGAAGCAGATCATGCCTTAAAGTTAAAATAGATCACGGTTTTTGATCATTATTTTATTTTAAATAATCGGCATGATTATTAGGACTATTATAAGATTTAAATCATCCTTCCACCCATTTTCTTTATCTGCTCAATGTCCTCTGTGAAAGACGCCCTTCTCTGTTTAAATGAGGAGAAATAGTACAGAACTGTCAAATAAAAATAACAAATAAACTATTGTAACAGTGAGCCCTCTTTCTTTGTCTATGCTGCAGACTTTAAAACTTACAGTTTACATTGCACTTCCTTGTGATAATGTGCTTACATGTGGTCTGATGTAAAAAGGTTCAGTACCACTAAAACAAGACTTCTTGAATAGATGGCTAATAAACTGTTTGAAGATATTCTGTGAATACCTTTATATTGTTCATTAGTGTTTATTATGCATTGGAAATATCCTGCATGCTAAAAAAAATTCTGTTTACAAATACAAAATGTTGAGTATAAGCCAAATTAGATAAGACATATAGTTGAACAGATTTGGCTCATTACTTGTCCAGTCAGTTTATTCTCTTCCTTACCATTTAATGATGAGTAATAAAAGAGTTTTTTTTATTTTTTATTTATTTAACCTTTATTTAACCAGGAAGTCCCTTGAGATTGAAATCTCTTTTTCGAGGGAGACCTGGCCAAGACGGCACACCAGTTAAAATACAAACAGAAATACAACATAGACAAAATCTCACATAGAGGAAAAGACAGGTCACATAGGGCAGTTACATTTTTGAATGACATGACATTTTAACATGGCCTTAAATTTATTCAATGGGACTAGATCATTTAAATGGAGCAAGTTTTGCAAATTATTCCAGGACCATGGAGCAAAGTAAGAGAAGGATTTCTTCCCCAGCTCAGTAAAAACCATTGGAATCTGGTAAGAGCGTCACCTGGTGGAACGGAGATGAAAATTGCTGGAATTTAGCTTGAGGAGATTGCATAAATATGCCGGCAGTTTACCCAACATGGCCTTGTATAGAAAAATATAGAAATGAAGTTGTCTACGTAGACTTAGTGACGGCCAGAGTTATGGAAAATGTACAGATTTATCTACATGGTGCCACATGTCAATCAATCTTAGAGGCTTGTCAGCAGCTGACCAATCAGTGATCTCGATTTGTCCCAAAAACAAACGGCTCTCTGCTCCTTTCTCTTCCCTTTTAAGTAAGAACTCCATCCAAGGTAGGAACGGAGCTCTGGACTGAATCCAGTCAGCTTTCAGCCTTATAGTCATCATTATGCAGCAGACATAGTTAACGCTGGTCAATTTGGAATTACAGCCTCCCAGAGAAGAACTACAAAAAAACAAAAGTTATAAAAATTAAGCGAATGGCTGAAGCTCTCCATTAAAAAAAAATATATATACAAAGGGGAACACATGACTCCATAAGGTGGGCTAGGCCTATACGGTCTATCACACAAAGGATTGTGGGTAACCATTTAGCTCCTAGCTGCAGATTGTAACGTCAGAAGGTCTCTATGCTAAATTATGCTAGGAAGCAAGCTGCTCCCTCTTCCTAGCACCTTACCCACTTCCAGCTGTACTTGTTAGGAGCTTATTACAGTGAACACAGACGTACTTGGATTAAGTGTCCTTACCAATTTGAGGCATTAAATTTTTCATAAGGAATGTTCAGGAACACTATGTTCTGCAGGATCTGCAAAGCAAACAAGGTGATGGGTGTTAATCAACTTGTATAATGTTAAAGGATAGGGTAATCCATAAATACACATCCGTTAAAGCACTTGTATTATTCCACATTGTAAAATAATCATCTTTCTAACATATTTGTTGTTGTGATTTTAACTGACAACAGGTGCTGAGTAAGCCTGAAAACTGCTGCGGTCTGAGAGAAAGTGAAGTGCTTTCTTTGCTCCATGATGTTGGTATGTCCACTATTTCTGTTTGCATCCATTGAATTTATAGAAGCATTTTAAAACCACCTCAATTAATCTAATCACTAACGTCTGTTCCAGGAAATGGCATTCAGTATCTGCACGAACACAAGATCATACACAGGGACCTTAAACCTGAAAACATAGTGCTCCAAGACTGCAACGGAAAGGTACAGCTCTGCGTTTCTGAATTGAGTTGTCTTTGTCGTCACGTATCTGAATGGTTTCAACTTATTTTTATTTTTTATTTTGTCCATTTCCTTTTCAGGTGATTCATAAAATCATTGACTTGGGTTACGCCAAAGATCTGGACCAGGGCAGTCTGTGCACTTCGTTTGTGGGAACTCTTCAATATCTGGTAGAGACCTAAATAATGTCCTCATCTTTGAAATATCTAGTCAACTAAACAAGTTTCATGCTCATTTTCTTTAATTTCTCCTTTAAAGATGATAAATCAAACCATAAAGTGTTTGTCATCACATCCAGCTCCTGTTTCTCTGCAGGCTCCTGAGCTGTTTGACAACAAGCCATACACAGTTGCTGTAGACTACTGGAGCTTTGGCACCATGGTTTTCGAATGCTGCTGTGGTTTCCGTCCTTTTCTGCACAACTGGCAACCTGTGCAGTGGTAAGATCAGCTTAGGCCACATGTGGAAGGATTTTTCATTTACAGCCTCCTTAGGAGCACGCTCTAAGAAAGTTGTCAGAGAAAGTCATGTCAGATTGCTCTTTTCCCAGCGTTCTTGGATATTTGAAAAGATAATTTGAAGGGGATAAACCAAACTTCTGGATATCCCAAATTTACCCCAAGTATAAGCTAAAATTGCAGAAAAAGAGAAGCTCTCCACCTTGCTGTAAACAGGCCTCATTTAGTTTATCTGTTAAAAAAAGACCACCTTGAGGGAAATGGAGGAAAAAAGAGAAGCTTTACTTTTTTCTTTCCAGTTTTTATTGTCATTACACTGTCACAAGTACAGAGCAACGAAATGATCTCTCTGCCATTGTGGGGCGCCCGGGGAGCAGTTTGGGGGTTAAAGGGTTATGCCGATTTTTTTTTTTACATTGCCCCTTTGATTTTACATTATTAAATCATGTTCTACTCACCCATATGAGTCTTGTCTCATTTGGAGCTGTTCTAAAGATATTCGATTAGGTTATATCCAAGTAACATCTTCCTATGAGCAATCGACTTGAAGGCACAAACTAAATTGTTCATAATTTATTCTTTATGGTACGCCAGCATTCATAACGTAGGTAAATCAATGTCCCCCAGACATCCGCTGTTATATTTTTTATATTTATATCTTTTAAAAACGGAGCGTCGCGTGTATGATGTCATCCGCCGGCTACCGTTCATTTATCCTGTCCACTGAACTGCTGCTAGTTTTACTCACATGCCTGGAAGATGTCTAGTGCTACTATCACAGATGATCTCGCTCTCGAAATGGAATTGAACGATTCAGATTAGCTAGCCGAACGAGTAGAAGGAGTAGAGCGTAGCCGCCTGTGGCCCGGGCTTTCTGTTACGACTCCAGTTCGCATGCGCGGATGACCTCATACACGCGCCGCTTTGTTTTTAAAACGTATAAATATAAAAAATATAACCACGGATGTCTGGGGGACAGTGGTTCGCCTACATGTTATGAATGCTGGCGTACCATAAATGATAAATTATGAACAGTTTAGTTTGTTCCTTCAACTTGTTGCCCATAGGAAGACGTTACTTTAAAATAACAAAACCGAATATCTTCAGAACAGCTCCAAATGACACATAACTTATATAGGTGAGTAGAACATGATGTAATAACATAAAAGCAAGGGCCAAATGTAAAAAAAAACGGCGTTCCCCTTTAAGGGTTTAAGGGCAGTCAGTGGGAGTGGGGACTCTAACCAAGGTCTATGCCCTAACCACTAGGCCGTCACTCCCCCTCATGAAGTGTTTGGTTGGCAAAGATTTGATTTGTTGCCCTTTGAAATTATTAGACCAGTGCAGATGTTTGTTCTAAATGCTGATCATCATGTTTGGTCAAAACTGCAACACATTCCGTATAAGTCACTTCTATCTCTGGAAAATAAAGGGCTTATTACGCTATACTATATAGTCAATCAAACACGCTGCTACTGAGGCTCGATTGTAATATAGGAGGAAAACAATGTGACAAACTTATGTTGAAGAAAACCATCATAAGCAATACATTTATCATGTTGATGAGCTGGTTCAGAGTGATGCAGGAGCTCAGCATAGTACTCCAAGTTAGTAAACATGTTCCGGATGTTACAGACATGAAATCATTCAGGAACTATGCTAAAACAAAACAGGCTCAAAATGTGTGGGTTCATAGAAAATAATTAAAAATTAGGTATGTTGAAGCTACTTGATCTGTGCTGATTTGTTTCTGTTGTGCAGGGCTGGCATAGTGAAAAATAAAGGTCCAAAAGACATAATGGCAGTGGAGGATTCAAATGGGGAAGTCAAGTTCTCAACACATCTGGCACATCCAAACAATCTCAGCAGGTTTGCATGCAAAATAATAGTACTGGTACTTTTTAGTACTGCTTTTTTCCTCACAGTTTTAGATCAAATTTGTCAATAATTTCTGATTTCTGTCCTTGTGATGCAGGACTTTGGTGGAACCGCTGGAAAACGTCCTGCAGTTTATGCTGAAGTGGAATCAAGAGCAGAGAGGAGGCCCAGTTCAGCGGCTCACAAAGAAACCCATGTGCTTTGAGATGCTTGACGAGTTACTGAATATGAATGTGAGTTCCCATAGGAGCTTCTTACATGAAGGTTATTCCATGATAAAGTCAAATATTTACAGCATACAGGGAGCTTAAAATATGCAACAAAAATATATTAACATCACAGCCTTAAATCTAATAAATCATAAAACAGTTAATTTTTCCAAACTCCGTCCCTGCTGAGAAGCATATTCCCCTTATTTACTCTTAGTGTTTTATGATTATTGTTTTTTTTATATTAGATTTACTTTTTTGTTTCAATAAGGGATGTGAAATACGTTATCACCATTTTAATTTTTTGTTTGCATTACACTTATGTTTCAGATCAGGTCCAAAAAAGGATACCTTGAGTTAATTAAGGGGAATAATGTTAATTAACTTGGCTCTATTTTGGAGAAATAACCAGAGTTTATAATCAGCCTGAGAGCTCAGTTCAAAGAGACCCGTTATATGATCGCATAATGGATTCTAATGTTAACCTGAATACTTTATCAACAGTATAAAAAAAAAAAAAACTGCTAAATGAGCAGGACAATCAAACATAATATCAATAAATAAAATAAATAAAAAACAGCATCTAGAGCTGTAAGCTGCTTTAAATGTTCTGTGAAAACACAAAAATATTAAATGCCAAATTTGGAATGATGGGACCATGTAGACCATCCACTTGGCTGCATGCTAAACAAACTTCCTCCAACCAGCCTTCTTCTTTCTTTTTAGCTTGTTTATTATTTAAACCCCCCTCCTTTTTTTTCAAATTGGGAAGGGCTGCTTGTATCTCCACCTTTTAATATGAACAAGAAAATGCAGATTTACCTACTGTAGGCTGACCATAGTTTGCCACTGGAGCTTGCAGGAGTGACTGCAGTTATGTTTTTTTTACTGTTAAACCATGGGTAGGAAAACTATGTAAGGCATCTACTATACTTAAAAGGGAGGTTACATCAAGGTTTAATCAAACGCATACATGAATGACAAAAAATAATCCTAACACATTTAATATATAGGTCATGAAGCAGCAAACTGGATACAAATCATAATACTACCTAAGGCTGCAATTATTATTTTCAATTAATGGATTAATAATCTGATTGAAAGAGTTTCTTTAAAGAAGACGTTTTACAAAATTAACCCAGGTGAAACTAAAACTTTTCCACTTGAAGAGTTCTGGAAAGAGCATTTTTTTTTCTTTCTTTGAAATGCAAAATGTTGACATATTTTCTTTTACAATTTCGGTATAATTTCTGCTCAAGGTGGGTCAATCTGTCAGCTAAAGGCATATTTAAGAGTCTACACTCCACTTAATGGTTAATCAATTACTTAATTATTTGACTATTATTTCAATAATTGATGAATCACAATTAATCTGATTAATTATTTTACCAGCGCCATGTTTTACTGCTGGTGCTAATTTCAGTCTCCTAAATGCTGTTTCATACCAGATGTTAAAGAATGCAGACCTTTAAAAGAAGTCCCATCTTTTGAGCTACAGAACTTTTTCCATAAATGGGATTATAGAGAATGTTTTATATTCTTTTTGATCAGCAGAGGTTTCTTCTTGAATCGCTCCTTGTCCAGCTCCTCCCTGTTATTGATAAGTTTTGAACTTGAACCTAAACTAAATCAAAAGAACCCTCTTCTGGATGGTTCCTAACTTTTGGTTTGTTCATAACAAATGTAATTTAATGTTCCTTTTTTTCTTGACGTTTTCTCTTGTCTTCAGGTCGTCCACATCCTAAACATGACCACAGCTCAGGTCCTTTCCTTCAAACTAAGTCCAGATGAGAGTCTTCATAGTCTGCAGCTGCGCATTGAGGCTGAAACCAAGATTGAAGTTGTGAATCAGGAGCTGCTGCAGGAGACGGGCGTCTCTCTGGACCCCAGGAAGCCCGCTAACCAGTGTGTCCCGTTGGATGGCATGGTACGTTAGTACTACCTTTTCAGGATAGAGTTTTTAGCTTTTCCTTTGACAACTGGCTGATTAGAATTGGCATCTCTGCAGGATACGGTTCTTAAGAATACCGGTTGTAAAGCCTTTTGCAACCTGTAAACTTTGTGCTGCCATTATGAGTGCTAGGGGTGTGCCAGCGCCCGTATTTGTAATAATAATATCCAGTATATCTCCTTTGGTTCGGTAAGCATGTGTACCAAATGAATAAAGATTTATGCCTTAACATATTCAGAAAGTTGCTGAGAAGTATAAACTTCTTGATGCAAAGTCATAGGAATTGAAATATATCCTTTATTGACCCTCTGGGGAAATTCAATTCAATGTCTTTAGCTTTTTATTAGCTTTTTTTTTTTTAGCATTTTGTAGCGTAGCTTTAAATAGAGGCATTGAAACAAAGCAGACAGCACATTCTCAAACATCAAGGTTTCTCAGGAAGCTACAGTGGGGAAGGAAAGGTGAAGCGAACCAAAACTAAATCAGCGAAGGCACCTTTCAACTACAATAAAGTATTGTCAGCTCTTCCAGTAGAGTCCAGACTGTGATGAGGAAGCGGGGGGGGTTTATGCTCCTAGGTGTTGAAGAACACCTAGTCTGTTTGCTTTAGGACCTGCTGACTGTATTTGCATCCAGTCACACAATGCAATAAATTTAGCCGAGCCTGAATCACTTCAGGATCTCAAAATGGGTTTTAAGTCTGATATTTAATTGAATTCTTAAGGATTTGCTTTGGTTCTGTTTCAGCCAATTTGCTTCTAAATTTAGATATTATATATCATATGTAATGGTATTCTAGAGACAAAACTAAAGACATAGGTAAAATATGTATTATTGAAAATATTTTAACAGTAACAAAATGCATCTTCTGTTTAACCCGGAGTGTAATTTAAATGAAAATGTTTGTTTAAGATTCCTTTATTCCCTTATTTATTACTCTTTCTTTTCTTGTATAGAGAGGCTGGGATGAGTATATTGTTTACTTGTTTGACAAGAGCATCACCAACTACTCTGGTCGCTTGAATGCCAGACTCCTTCCTGAGCGAGTCAACAACATCGGTGAGCTGCTGTCAGGCTGTAGTAAATCTATCATAGGAGGTTTCCCTCCATAAATAATCCTTTATGAATAGAAGTGAGAAATGTCACGTTTTTAATTTACAGTACAAGATTCGAAAAAGCCGTTACCTCTGATGGAGTTAAAGAAAGTTTGGGGGGAAGCAGTGAACTACATCTGTGGTCTAAAGGACGACTACAGCAGACTCTTCCAAGGCCAGAGAGCTGCCATGTGAGACACCCATTTCCTTTGACTTTTTTTTTTTAGCTTGTCATCAGATCAGCCACTTCCAGGAAGAACATCGTACTCGGTTTTTCAGAGAAACAGTTTGTCGTTAGATGCAATAGAGCATTTTTATAATTCACAAATGCTTTAGTTTATGTATCTAAAAAAACAAAAACTTCTACAGAGCTGTTACACATTTATGTATTTCAGAAAGTCCTCTGATTTTTGTTTGTGTTTGTTTGAATGAAACCTAAAATTCTGCTTCTCAGTAAATTTAAATGCATGAATCATCAAAGAAGTCATGGAGAAGACTAGATAGATGTTCAGATGGTATATGATGCTAAATTTAACCATATTGGTAGAAAGTTGACTGTAAGGATAAACTGTGGTGCAACAGTTTAAGTACAGGTAAAAGCTAGTAAATTAGAATATTTTGAAAAACTTGATTTATTTCAGTAATTGAATTCAAAAGGTGTAACTTGTACATTATATTTATTCATTGCACACAGACTGATGCATTCAAATGTTTATTTTATTTAATTTTGATGATTTGAAGTGGCAACAAATGAAAATCCAAAATTCCGTGTGTGTCACAGAATTAGAATATTAAGGCTAATACAAAAAAGGGATTTTTTAGAAATGTTGGCCAACTGAAAAGTATGAAAATGAAAAAGATGAGCATGTACAATACTCAATACTTGGTTGGAGCTCCTTTTGCCTCAATTACTGCATTAATGCGGCGTGGCATGGAGTCGATGAGTTTCTGGCACTGCTCAGGTGTTATGAGAGCCTAGGTTGCTCTGATAGTGGCCTTCAACTCTTCTGGGTTTTTGGGTCTGGCATTCTGCATCTTCCTTTTCACAATACCCCACAGATTTTCTAAGGGGCCAAGGTCAGGGGAGTTGGCTGGCCAATTTAGAACAGAAATACCATGGTCCGTAAACCAGGCACGGGTAGATTTTGTGCTGTGTGCAGGCGCCAAGTCCTGTTGGAACCTGAAATCTCCATCTCCATAGAGCAGGTCAGCAGCAGGAAGCATGAAGTGCTCTAGAACTTGCTGGTAGACGGCTGCGTTGACCCTGGATCTCAGGAAACACAATGGACCGACACCAGCAGATGACATGGCACCCCAAACATCACTGATGGTGGAAACTTTACACTAGACTTTGGGCAACTTGGATCCTGTGCCTCTCCTGTCTTCCTCCAGACTCTGGGACCTCGATTTCCAAAGGAAATGCAAAATTTGTTTTCGTCAGAAAACATGACTTTGGACCACTCAGCAGCAGTCCAGTCCTGTTTCTCTTTAGCCCAGGCAAGACGCTTTTCGCGCTGTTTCTTGGTCAACAGTGGCTTGACACGAGGTATGCGGCAGTTGAAGCCCATGTCTTTCAAGCGTCTCTTGCTGGTGGATCTTGAAGCACTGACTCCAGCAGCTGTCCATTCCTTGTGAATCTCCCCCACATTTTTGAATGGGTTTTTTTTTCACAATCTTGACTAGGGCGCGGTGATCCCTATCGCTTGTACACTTTTTCTGACCACAGTTTTTCCTTCCCTTTGCCTCTCTATTAATGTGTTTGGACACAGAACTCTGAGAACAGCCAGCCTCTTCAGCAATAACCTTTTGTGTCTTTCCCTCCTTGTGCAATGTGTCAATGGTCGCCTTTTGGACAGCTGTCAAATCTGAAGTTTTCCCCATGTTTGTGTAGGCTCCAGAACTGGACTGAGAGACCATTTAAAGCCCTTTGCAGGTGTTTTGAGTTAATCAGCTGATTAGTTTGTGGCACCAGGTGTCTTCAAAATTTAACCCTTACACAATATTCTAATTTTGTGACACACGGAATTTTGGATTTTCATTTGTTGCCACTTCAAATCATCAAAATTAAATGAATGAAACATTTGAATGTATCAGTCTGTGTGCAATGAATAAATATAATGTACAAGTTACACCTTTTGAATACAATTACTGAAATAAATCAAGTTTTTCAAAATATTCTAATTTACTGGCTTTTACCTGTATGTCTAGTTCATGAGTTACAACTGTTGCATTGCTTGTAAGCAGCTCTTGTAGGACAAGCCTTTTACCTTTAACAGACCTTTTTTCAAACTAATTCAATCTTTAACAGCCCAAGGATGTTGACCTTGGGTTCCATAAAAACAGAAGAATTTAAACCAATTTTGTAAGCATACAGGAAGTGATGTAGTTGTTTTAAATGGGACTGACTCCAGCAGACGTTGATTGAGCAGCTGAACCTCTGTGTTAAACAAACCTTCTTCGTCCTGCTCTCCACCCCGTTCTGCAGGCTGAGCCTCCTGCGCTTCAACACCAACCTGACCAGGTATAAGAACAGCATGTTCGGCTTCTCTCAGCAGCTCAGAGCCAAGCTGGATTTCTTTAAGAGTAGCATCCAGTATGACCTGGAGAAATACAGCGACCAGATGCACTATGGGATATGTGAGTGTTGGATGGCAGCTGAAATGTTTTATTCCTGCAACACAGCAAAATCCTATGCATTGATTAGTGTCCACTGTTTGTTTAAAGCTTCTGAAAAGATGCTGAAAGCCTGGCAGGAAAATGAAGAAAGAGCTGCTACCTTTGCACAGGTAATAACAGGTGGAAAACCTTTGCTTGAGTTTATATTTTTGTAAATAAAAACTTGTTTGTGGTGGTGTTCTGCAGGTGGCAGAAGTGAGCCATTTGGAGGACGAGATCATGGCTCTGCACTCTGAGATTGTGGAGCTCCAGAGGAGCCCGTATGCTCGGCGACAAGGAGACAAGATGGAGCTGCTGTGAGTGTGAATGAACCGTTTCTGCTGCTGTAAGGGAATGAAGGAGGCAGAGGGATGATGCATACATTTTAAACATGCCGCGGTTTAAAGGTTCAATAGATAAAAACTCTAGAATAAGGATCGTTAGACATTTAAATGTTGTAAATGCATTTTATTCCAGAGAAGGGAAGGCAATCGAGCTCTACGTGCAGCTGAAGAGGACATGCAAAGGTGGGGCATATTTTTAGTTTTTTAAATCATGCAAAAAAGATCAAAAAGTTAGTTTAAATCAAATGTTTTGTTCCTCAGCTGCTGACTCCGATGGCACCGGCGACAGCTCTGAAATGGTGAAGGCAATCATCCAGACGGTTCAGAACCAAGACAAGGTTCTCAAAGATCTGTACACCCACCTGAGGTAGGACATCAGACCTGTAAGTTTACAGAAAATTATCTTTCTTTGATTCATCCTCTTGTTATTATAAACAGTTTGTAAGGATAAAGTCTTTGATAGGAAAACACGGTTTTACTCAGAACCACAGAGTTCTGATTTAATCCGGTCGTTTCTGCCTACAGCAAAATCCTGAATAGCAAACAGAAGATCATTGACCTTTTTCCACGGATAGAGAAAACCCTGGAGAACATCAAAGACGCTGACAACACAGTGATGCAAATGCAGATCAAGAGACAGAAAGAGTTCTGGCATTTACTCAAGATTGCCTGTGTGAGTAAAAGTCAAGGCTTTTATTATTAAGCTCATCCTTTGGTTTTGTGTTTGAATAGCTGACCGGTGGGAACTACTTTGATAGGTAGAACATCTAAAAGAATTACTTTTTTTGAATGTTTTTGTTTATCTTTTTTTTTCCAGAAAAAAAATTATTTAAGTTTGCAGCACAAAGATACTCTGAAGTAGCTATGCTTGGCCACTGGGTGGCGCAATTGTTGAAGTCGGAACACAAAAAATAAATTAGAGGACTGTGAAGAGAGATCAGTTCCTCTACAGTCCTGAAGAGGTCTAGCATTTAATTACAAGAAAAAACAAAATGGAGAATAGGGAAATATTTGCTCCTTCAGATGATTAGGAGTCGTAACCTGGTATTTTCATATATATATATATATATATATATATATATATAATATAAATAAATCAAAAGGGCAAATTTTTTACCCCTTTACATACCCTCTTATTGTTTGTTTTTTCTCTCCTGCACGAGCATTTCACTTCCATGTATGCACGTTCGTGTGGATATAGCTTTAAAGTTATTGTGGAGGATTTTCGCAAATTTTATAAAAGACCCGCCTTCTCCACTTTAAAAAAAATAACACGCATGCAAAACCCTGTACCCGGTCCCGAGAGGAAACGCCTGTTAAATGCGTGCGAGAGCGTGCACGAGCCCATTTCTCCTCAGCACTCTCTGTTTAAAAGTTGCTGTTCTCATAGCTCATACAAGCTTACTGCAACCGTTCGGACAGATGATCACTACTTTTTGCTCCGTGCAGATATGGCGCTGCACCATATCTGCAGTTCAGGCAGTAGCAGTGGAAGATGTGGGCTAACGCCATCTCCAAACAACATAGATACCAAAAAAACTGAACGATCAATATGTTCTGATAAACATCTACAGCACCTTTTTTTCAATCTATACATTTAATTTTGATAGCGATATATTGTGACAGGTATCATGTCAAAATACCCATGCCAATACTCACCTCTACAATATATTCCTGTTTTTGTGAACTTCAAGTGTTCAAGAAAGAAAGTGGGCTCCCTGTGTTCTTGATTTTGGTTGTTCATGTTCTTTTTTTCATTGTCAGTAAATGTGTGGTTTTTTTTTGTTTTTTTTGTTCAGGCCCAGAACTCTTCTCGGAACTCCATGGCAGCCAGTCCAGAGTCCTCCCATCTGCTGCAGGTTTCTCCATGGTCCCAATCCGCTCAGCCTGTCAGCTCCCCTCATCCCCTGACGTCGCTGCCTGGACGTAATGACAGGTAACTCTGTCACTAATCACCAAACAAACACCTGGACGCATTTTCAGAGCCTTTTTATATTTCTAAAGGGGTCAATATCACCTTTTTTCAAAGATAAATCAGCCCTAAGCAGATGTATGGATGGGCAATTATTAGGGGTGTAAATCACATCCATCATGGCGATTCGATTCAGTATCGATTTCCTGACCCAACGATTCGATTATTTTCGATACTCAATAATAAAAAATAAAAAAATTTAACCGATTAATCGAATCGCATCGTGGTGTATTCTTATTTTTTTTTTTACACCCTACAGGCTAAACAAAGTTTCAAGTTTGAAATAAATCAATGAAAGCTGTAATATCATTATGCATTTTCTTTAGAAACAACAGCAAATAACAGAAGTAGAAAAGTTGCATCAAAAAATACTGCAGAAATACTGCACAATATCCGTGTAATGAGTTCAATGCAATACCTCGGCTCCAGAGAAACTGTCCAACATATTTGTTTAGAATGTAATAAATATACTCAGGAAAGAGAGATGTTGCATAGAGAGTTAGACAGGAATAAAAATAAACTAGATATAAGGGAATTGTTTCAAAGGTAATCTGGGGATGTAGTTTTTGGGAGTATTTTTAACTTTCTAAGAAGAACGGGTATTTTAGGGAGAATATAATAGTTTGTCTGGTCCATACTCCATTCTGGAAGGTGGTGGTAATGCACCTATAAGTTGTTTGCCAACCGCCATTAAAAAAAAGAAGAAGGCTCCAAAATGTCGACGTCACCGCCCCCTTGAGTGACGCTCCGCTGCTCCTCTCCCAGATTGTAGCTGGCCGCAAACAGTGCAGCAGACAGGAGGCCGGCTTGTTTTGTTTTTATGACCGAAATTGTGGAAAACAACTCGTGAAGTTTGACTCGCTAGAAGAGCGAGGTGGGCGAGAACGCTGGGACCATTTTTCCACCTGGATCTCTGCTCTTTTTGGTCCTCCTGTCCCTCCGTCGTCGGACTAAACTCGCCCCCACTTCCTCACCGCCTCGGCCGTATCTAGACCCACAGTGTGTAGCTCAGACCACGCTTAAATACTGAGCATAATTTAAAAATGTCTGTGTGAACCTTACTGCAACACACTGCTGTAAGAGTATAACCAGGAAGCGAGGTAGGAGGGCAAAATAGGTTTAGCGCCACCGCAGCACGGGAGGAGAATTACGCCCAGGAGCAAATGGATAAAAATAGACCGGAGGAAAAAAAAACATGAATCGATTCTCTTGCGGACGTGTCGATGCATCGGATCGTCGGCTTTTGGATCGATGCATCGATACAAAACGATTATTATTTACACCCCTAGCAATTATAGGTTAAAACATTTGAGTTTGAGTTCATTTAAGCTTGAAGACAAACGGGGTTAGAAGTGACCTAGATGTCATGAATTTATAGAGAAAAGGTTCATTTTCTCAATTTTGACTCCCCTCTCACAGAAGTTCGACATTGACTTCAAATTTCTAGAATCATTTTTATCCAGAACATCTTACAGAAACGTTTGAAGAAGCCTAAACATTTGAGTCTGGGGAAAAAAAATTTTTTATAGGAGCTTTGGATTAGCCTCCTACTTTGTATAACTGATTTTTTTCTCAAGACATACTTGACACTAAAAGGATATTTAACAGTCAAAAAATTATATATAAAAGTAGTTTAGTATTTGCATATGTGTGTGTTCTTCACTTACGCTCTCTTTCTCCTTAAAAAACAAAATGTAGATAATTGTCTATGAACCAAAGGAGGGCAGATCAACAGTTAGCTCACAGCTTAAGCTACTACAGCTAGAAACCACTGATTATGGTTGAAATCTTGGTGTCATGAGGGACTCAGACCTGAACCTTCAGAGGCACATAAAGGCAGTTAGTAAGTCAGCCTCTTTTCACATGAATAATATTTTCAGGATTAAAGGAGCAGCTTCTGGAAACAATCATTTATGCATTTATCTTTAGTAGAATTGATAACTGCAACAACATCTTCACAGGTTTGCCTACAAATTCCATCATACAGCTGCAGCTGATCCAAAATGCTGCTGCTTGTGTTCTCACTAGAACTAAGGAAGTAGAGCACATCAGCCTGGTTCTGAACTCCTTCCCTGTTGCTCAAAGAATAGACTTTGAAGCCCTTTGTTTAGTCTATAAATCACTGAATGTATCAGCACCTCATTACATAAAAAGATTTGTTGTCAGTCGATAAACTTCCCAGACCACTCAGGTCTTCTAATTCCAGCCTTCCACCCAGAACTAGAACCAGACATGGAAAAGCAGAATTTAGTTTCTATGCTCCACTGATCTGGAGCAAACTCCCAGAAGACTATAAAGGTGCTGAAAGCCTGAGTTCTTTTAAGCCAAAAAAAAAAAAAAAACTATTTGTTTAGAGCTGCCTTTCACTGTTAAACTGCTAACTGAGGTTTTATTAGTTTAAGGTTGTTTTTGTTTGTTTTACTACATCCATTTATCATGTTTTTAATCTTTATTTTTTTTTACTCTCCTTTTATTTTTCTTATATTTTATTGTCCAATTCATGTAAAGCAACTTGAATGTTCCATGTGCTGAATTGTGTTATACAAATATAAACTTGCCTTGTCTAATTTGATTAAAACGAGCGGGTCTCATGTGACTGAGCTGAGACTAAATGTTTGGGGTTTTTTATGTTTTCAAGCAGCGCTGCTCCACGTCTGCTGCAGGAGAACCAGAAGTACCTCAGTCAGCTGACCAATCTGATGCAGGAGGCCACGGACGAACAAGCAAAGAGCATAGTGGTGAGTTCATAAATATTTGGGTTCATTTGGTTACTTAACATCAAATCTGTTTAACAACTTCATCCACAGCAACACAAATGGGAAAGCTTGGTCTGCGTTGATTTTTAAGGTTGAAGAACATTTTAACCCAAAAGCAGCTTGAGCTGCAAACATGAGGATCATTTCTATAAGACAAAAATGTAGTTTACGTTTTTAAAGATGGGATGAAAAGTGAGTTAATAAGAGGAATGGTTGTTTTTTCACAGCGATGCCTAGATGGTCATTATTAATGTACGGCAAGCTAATTTAGGAGATAGTTCATTCTAATCTGAGAACACGCCATAGCGCCCGAATGCTTTGCTGCTTCCCCAAAAGCAGCGATGTTCCACCATGAGGAGCTAAAGAGTTGTATTTTTGCTGATATGCTGATGAAGGTTCTCAGTCATCCAGGTCAAAGTCATTCCGTAAAAATTCAAAAAATATCCACTGGACTTGGTTTTCAAGATTTGAAGACGTTTCGCCACCTCTCCAGGAAGCTTTCTCAATTCAAATGAATGAAATCAATTCAATTTGAATTGAGAAAGCTTCCTGGAGAGGTGGCGAAACGTCTTCAAATCTTGAAAACCAAGTCCAGTGGATATTTTTTGAAGTTTTACGGAATTTTTGCTGATAACTGCAGTGATAGAGATGTGTAGTGATGCGTCGCTCTAGAGCGTAGCGGGCTCTCTGAGTGGCCTAAAAAAAAAAAAAACTAAACATTTTCCTCATCTGACGAGGCATCAGGTTCCAACATAATCGGCAGTTGTTGCAGAACCTGTTTGTCCATTGAAATAATCTGAATTGTTGAAGATTCACGAGTATTTTCATCGCTATCCGTTTCAGTGTGTACAGGTGCTGGTCATAAAATTAGAATATCATGAAAAAGTAGATTGATTTCAGTAATTCCATTTAAAAAGTGAAACTTGTATATTATATTCATACATTACATACAAACTCATATATTTCAGATGTTTATTTTGTTTAATTTTGATGATTACAAATGACAACAAATGAAAATCTCAAATTCATCATATCAGAAAATTAGAATATTGTGAAAAGGTTCAAAATTGATGGCCCCTGGTGCCACACTCTAATCAGCTAATTAACTCAAACCACCTGCAAAAGCCTTTAAATGGTCTTTCAGTCTAGTTCTATAGGCTACACAATCATGGGGAAGACTGCTGACTTGACAGTTGTCCAAAAGACGACCATCGACACCTTGCACAAGGAGGGCAAGACACAAAAGGTCATCGCTAAAGAGGCTGGCTGTTCACAGAGCTCAGTGTCCAAGCACATTAATAGAGAGGCGAAGGGAAGGAAAAGATGTGGTCGAAAAAAGTGTACAAGCAAGAGAGATAACCGCACCCTGGAGAGGATTGTGAAACAAAACCCATTCAAAAATGTGGGGGAGATTCACAAAGAGTGGACTGCAGCTGGAGTGAGTGCTTCAAGAACCACCACACACAGACGTATGAAAGACATGGGTTTCTGCTGTCGCATTCCTTGTGTCAAGCCACTCTTGAACCACAGACAGCGTCAGAAGCGTCTTGCCTGGGCTAAAGAGAAACAGGACTGGACTGCTGGTGAGTGGTCCAAAGTCATGTTCTCTGATGAAAGTAAATTTTGCATTTCCTTTGGAAATCAAGGTCCCAGAGTCTGGAGGAAAAGAAGAGAGGCACTTCATCCACGTTGCTTGAAGTCCAGTGTAAAGTTTCCACAGTCAGTGATGGTTTGGGGTGCCATGTCATCTGCTGGTGTTGGTCCATTGTGTTTTCTGAGGTCCAGGGTCAACGCAGCCACATACCAGGAAGTTTTAGAGCACTTCATGCTTCCTGCAGCTGACCAACTTTTTGGAGATGCAGATTTCATTTTCCAACAGGACTTGCCACCTGCACACAGTGCCAAAGCTACCAGTACCTGGTTGAAGGACCATGGTATCCCTGTTCTTAATTGGCCAGCAAACTCTCCTGACCTTAACCCCATAGAAAATCTATGGGGTATTGTGAAGAAGAAGATGCAATACACCAGACCCAACAATTCAGAAGAGCTAAAGCCACTATTAGAGCAACCTGGGCTATCATAACACCTGAGCAGTGCCACAGACTGATCGACTCCATGCCACGCCGCATTGCTGCAGTAATACAGGCCAAAGGAGGCCCAACTAAATACTGAGTGCTGTACATGCTCATACTTTTCATGTTCATACTTTTCAGTTGGCCAACATTTCTATAAATCCTTTGTTTTTATTGGTCTTCAGTAATATTCAAATTTTCTGATATGATGAATTTGAGATTTTTATTTGTTGTCATTTGTAATCATCAAAATTAAACAAAATAAACATCTGAAATATATGAGTTTGTATGTAATGTATGAATATAATATACAAGTTTCACTTTTTAAATGGAATTACTGAAATCAATCTACTTTTTCATGATATTCTAATTTTATGACCAGCACCTGTATATCCGCCATGTTGGCGAGCTAACCTCCAGGAATGACGATACAATTCCAGCTTTGGTGTGGGCAACAAATGAACCTGGAAAAAGAGCCATTTTTCATTTTGAAAACTGCTTTATTGTTAATTATTTATATCCGAATATGTCAAAACTCTATTATTGACAATAATTTAAAACAAGAAAACACTTTTGATGAAACGTTTTATCCTTTCTTTAAGTTATAGTTTGTTTTTTTAACAGCTATGTTCTGTGGAGAGGTTATGAGCAGTAAACATCTTACCTCAGTCCGATAAATTAAAAACTCTTCATCCAGTTTCTGGGAGGCTTTTATACTTAAATCAATTCTGTTGTTTAAAAACTGCTTTTTTATCTATTGGATTGAAACAGAAGCTATATTCCACAGCTCTCTATTGGTGTTTAGTTTTTGTTTTGAGTTACTGAAATAAACTCTAAAATGATCTAATTTTAGAAAAAGTGCTCTTGATTTTAGTTTCAATTTCCAAGAATGTTTTTTTGGTTTTCTTGCTCAGTAAATGCAAACATTAGGGTAGGAATTTGCTTTAGGTAGGATACTAACTTCTCATAAGCTCTCCTTGGGAGAAACTGCTTCATAAACTACAAACTTTCTCTTTTAGGACCATTTCTTTTTTAATTTAATGGTGATTTTTTTTTTTTTCCTTCTTTAAAGGAGCAAGACTGGAGCTGGACAAAATACGAAACGTTAACGACAAAACTAAAAAAGCAAAACGCATAAATCCCTGCCTTCCTCCTCCTTTCCCTCCGGTGCTCAGAGTGACACTAAGGGCAGTCGGCTCGGTGGAATGACATCATGCAGCGTGCAGCCTTATGTGGTGTCCGTCTTCTCCTATCATCCCACACGGTGGAAGGTTGGCTAAATAAATAACCCTGTTTTTATACCAGAGATTAAAGCTGCGTCTCCACTCCTTTCCATCGTGCTGCGCAATTTCCCGTGGCAGATCTCATCGTCCTGCGGGGGTGGTATCTCTGAGCTAACTGTAGCGCCGGAGGAAACGTGGGAAACCTTGTGGCACGGGGGAAATAAAAACAGGAAATGTTCTGGGTGGAGATCTGGGGGGAGGGATGGAAGAGGAGATGAAAGCACTTTGATACTCCCATGTAGCCTCTGTGAAGACGATCTGCTGAAGCAGCGTCAGAATTCACAGAAACAAAAAAACAGAAACCGTTAATCACTCACCATCGGTTTTGGATATTTTACTATTGATGTTTTCGGGGGTTTACGTTACGTGTCTGTTTTTGAAGCTAGTGTATTCAATCATAAGAAAAGGTGTTTTCTGTCATGTGTGCCTCATACATGGCTGGCCATCATCGTGTTCATACATTGTCTATACTGTAAATGTCTTTTAACTATGATAGAGGCGGGGCTTTTTGGAGCGGAGGTTCTCTGCTGCATTCATGTCAAAATCTCACAGAAATTCTTTAATTGAACATTTATTTTCCTTCTTTATTTTGTAAAGACCCATCCTACAGCCTGGATTTATTACTGGCATGCAGATATTATAACCATGCTGTCCTTAAACCTAACCTTGTATTCAGTGGAGTGAAAGTGGCCACATTCCTACGGTAGGACATAAATTACAGCTGACTGCCAGGGTAACAAAAAAAAGAGAGTTTCTGACTCTCAGAAAGCACCTTAATGTCAGATTTGGGCGTAAAGTATCGAAAAGTCCATCCAAGAGGCCAAACCTATAAACAGGAAGCGGAGTTTTATGCACTGTCCCAAATAAAATCGCCTCCCAGTTAAAAGGTCAACGATTTGGTTTGATGTCTTCGCTCTCTTTTTGGGATTTATATCACTTTTAAATGATCGGATCACTCTGTGTGAAGGAGTCTTATCTCCAGTTTCAGTGTTGATCTGATGTTCATAAAGTGGTTTATAAACTGAATAATCATGTTTAAATCTGATGTGAATGCAAACTGCACCCAGAGTGGCGAAGGGTTGAATGTACAGGTTGGCTCCAGAGAGAAATAACATTGCCGAGTTGTATTTATGAAGTTTAAGTGAAATGGCTTTTCCTTCTTGTTTGATTTTGTATTTATGCACTTGGATTTGATGTTTTTCTTAAGCTGGATATTGTTTTTTTTTTTTTCTTCTTCTTCCATCCTGCTGGTTTAAATTGATATTCTGTATATTACCTTTTTTTTTTTTTTTTTTTGTGGGGGAGATTTCCATGTATGTAGATAAAATGTTAAGCAGGTTAAAATAAATCGCTTTAACAGAGTTCCTGTTTTTATTTGGTTTTTCATGTTGGTCTTTTGAGTTCATGTTGCAAAGGCCCCTCAGCAGAGACGTTCAGCTCTTTGCAAAGGTAATCATACATGTTGAACTTTTGGTGCAATTTGTCACAACTGAAGCAATACTGGATTGGATTGCATTGCTTTATTAAGTAAAGCATGCATAGTGTGCTCTTTTTTTTTATTTTAAAAGTTAAAATTTCAAGGCGAGTCTCAGATTTTCCTCATTAGCCTGAACTTCAAATCCAATATAGCTGCCTAAACTTTGATTATCACAGTAAAAATACATTTATTACACTTACCAGTAACTGTAGTTTATTTTATTCAGTACTGAGCTTATATTTTAGGTAAGTGTTTGATAGTTAAATAAAAGAAAAAAATATAACTTATTGCTATAAGCAGCTGCCTTCATAACAAAGATTTCTACAAAATCTTGCTTTTTTCCCACATTAAAGTTACAAGAATTCCCTCTTTCACTTGAAAAATGATGTAGAAATAAGTAAAAATGTCTTAAATTAAGTGTATTTAACCTTAATTTGAGGAGGTAAATGAGATAGTTTGCCAATTGAATTAGTATTTTTACTTTTAAAATAAGATAATTAGATAATATGTACTTGAAAGAAGACATTTCAATTGTCTTTTCTTATTTTAAGTGTAAATTGTCTTCTTCCATTGGCAAAATGGCTCCTTTGCCTTCTAAATCCAAAAGCAAATGCACTTATTTTAGGAAAAAAATACTTATCTAGATTTTTATTTTTTCCTGTGTTGTTTTCTTTCTCCCAACACCTCGCATTTCATTTCTTTGCATCTACTTCTTAGATAAATCTTATGTAGCACTATAATCCCAGGTTAAGTAGCACTATTGAACTGCTCAGGATGGAGGCGTTTAAAGTTCATACGCTTCCCGATGCCTCCCTGTTTCTCTGTCCTTTTTCCTTCAGGAAAGGGCTGACTAACAAACGGTGCAATTATTGAAGGAATTAAGCCATGACTCAGTTCAGGCCAGTTTTAAAACAAAACCCAAATTCCTGGAAGCTGGAAACAATCAAGATAATCTGACTCACTGTTTCAACCGTAATCATTCAGATCAGAGGCTGAGTATTCCTGCAGATCGAGTTCACCTCCTCCCTTCTCATGACCTCACTGGACCCATCTAAGCTATTTCAGGGAGCTGCCAGGGCATGAAGTCTTGACAAATAACTTAATATTTATGCACGAAAAAATCTTAGTTGTTGGGGAATTGTTGTTTTAATTCTGCATGTTTGTTTTCCTTGAAACTCACTGTTGTGATCCAGGCTCTCCTGCTGAAAGGTCTCTGCTCTGCAGCTGTTTCTCTGGCAGATTTGTTAGTGAGTCAGTGTTAATCAGCCATTTCCAGGATCCAGCAGCTGCATATTACATCCCCCTGCTGATCTACAAGTCTGGTTCTTTTGTTACATTCACTCTTCTAATGCCAGCATCATGCATCTCACTGTTAGCCTGTTGCTTCTCTTGATTCAGATAGGGCGAAACATTCATGATCCTTTTTAAAGGCTCTCCTGAAGGATGGATGGAGGAAGGATGTTGATTAATGTAGAGAAGACATTTCATAATCCTTTAACTTGTCTTAGTTGATAGTTAAATGCAGACTCTAACAGGAAAGGAGTCATTTTGCTATTATGATCAAAGTAATATATTTTAAATAATTAGTACAGCAGGAGTACCCAGGTTCAATACTCCAGAAAATCTGTTTACCCAGCCTCTGCAGAGCTTAATGATGCTGATGAGATGCTTCCTTTGCAGAGAAGCATCTAAAAGCTGCAGAACTGGACCTGGCAATAAGTAAAAATAATTTAAATAACAGCATTTTATTTTTATTCCTGTCCACAAACAATCATACATTTGTTTGTTGAGAGTAACCTGCATTCAGGAAAAAAAAAAAAATAGATCACTAGTGCCAATAAAGAATGCTTAGATATTTATATTAAATTGATCTTCAGATTGCACCAATTAATATCTTAAACTATTTTTCTTTTTAAATATTTATTTTAGAGTCATTTTTATCTGTAAAATATGCTATATAAATATGAAATTAGTAGCAATTGTTGTATGTTCCCCACTATATATATATATATATATATTGCATCTTTAATTGTCCATTTCTTAGCCTTTTTAGTTACCTTTGATTTTATAAAACTGGACAAAAAGAAGGGAGTTATGAGCAATGGCAGCTGGTTCTGACTGCTTCTTTAACATCAGTGTATTAATTACAATTTAGCCACTGTGTATAGTTTCATTGCATAGGCGTCCATTTCTCTTGTATTCTGATTTTTGGAATAACACTGATTTTCTAATGCCCCAATGTGTTTTCTGAGCGTAAAAGCAGGAGATTCATCTTTTTAAAACTACCTCTTACAGAAATAATGCAATGTTTCACCCATCCTGCTGCCTCCCCCTTCTTCTCTTTAAAGAACATTAAGTTAACTGGAACGGATGCAGTGACCGCTTCGTTGTGTAATCTGTATGAAGCGACAAAAATATCTTAAGTGTGAAAATGCAGCTTCCACCATTAATCGCACAATCTGCTGACGCACCATGACCACACAGGCAGAGTAAAGTGCGCTTTATTTGCTGTGGACCAAAAAGGTTTACATTCCATCAGTCAAGTTCTAACAGCATGACACAAAATAAAAGGCTTTTACAATGAAGATGCGTCTCAAAATGTTTTTTTTTTTTATCCCACTATTGAGACACCATATGAGTTAAATACAAACAGTGATACAAAATGTAAGGCCTCCAATATTTCTGCTATTTATGCATGCTCAAATACAAGAATATGCAAAATATGTATAATTCGCTTCGATTCAAAAGCAAAGAAAACATTCAGGGTGATGAAAACTTCCAGAGTTTACATCCAGAGCAGACAGATTTTTTTTAACTGTGATGATAGAAAGGCTTTTTTTTCTAGCCAGAAAGATAAACAGTCAAAATGAAATTATTACATATTAAAAGGTGAAGATTTTCTGATTGAAAGGAGGTTTTAGTTTTTCTTTTTTTTTAAAGCAGCATTCCTGTCGATAGACATGAAATATCACTGATGCAGAACGTATGCAGCTTATCTAACATCGTGTTACAAAACAGCCTCTCCCACAGATGCTGCTGCTTCAGCTGTTTATTCCAAAGGAAACATGTAAGGTCTGGTTTTTCTTTATTGGTTTGGCAGAGAACATGTGTTCCAACTCTCAGCCTAGCTGGGAAACTTTTACTCTGGACTTTTATCAGACGTTGGATTAAGGAGGAAGTGGGAGATGGATGGACGGACTGTTGCTTCATCTGGAAAGGGTTACAAGAGCAGGATCCAAGATGAAGACCTTATAATGAGGCCAGGAGCTCCATTAGTCAGGGGGAAAGTTGTAGCTTCTTTGCATTTTGAAGGACTAAATACAGAAATTTCAGGTTCTGATCAGGATTTTTTCTGAATGCCTCTTTCGAGTTTATCAGGGAATGCACAACATGAGGAGACCCAGAGCTCACCAAAGGGGAAGTGAACACCCCTTTAGCCTTGGAACGGCCCAAAAAACAGGAATGACTGGAGTATGAGCAGAAAACATAGGACAGAAAATGAGCAGCGATTTAACATGACCCATCTGCCCTGAGGTCTCCAGGCCATTTGGAGGGATTCGATACTTAATGCAGGTTATAATTATAGAGCATTACATTCCGATCTGAGAGTCAGCAGAGCCCAGGAGCCTCTCTGAGGTGTTAAAACATAAATTACAAACATGAGGTCATCAAAAAAATGGAAAAAGTCTGATTTCTTTTAAAAAGGAAGCACAAAGAAATAAAAGTCGTCTTGTTTCTTTCAGTAACACTTAATGTGAAATAAATACAGAAAAGTCAGTGCAGCTCAGCATCCGATGCGTAAAAAGTGTAGAAAAAGAATTCTCTTTATAAAAAAAAATAAAAAATAAATCTCCCTGCTGCAGAGCAGCTGTTTGTCTGATTTTATTAAAGCTTTTCAAGCTTTATGTTTTCCAGCCGGAGCGGATCTTTGATTTTAAATCATCTGAGATGAACCAGGATGTCATACAGGTCTGATGAGTCGAGGCTTCGCTGCCGGAAGAGGAGGAGGCTTGAATCTGGCAACCGGAGGAGGGGGTTTGACTGGAGGTTTAGGTGGAGGACCTGGTTTGGTTCCATGGTTCTAAACATCAACATCAGGAAGAGAAATTTTATGAGTTTATTCTGGTAGTAATTTCCTTTGTTAAACAATGTTGTACAGTTTATCTATAGTCTGTTGTGTTCTAATCTCATTAAAGTTCTTTTTTTTCTGGCATAGTTTTCTGGCCCCTCAGAACCAAAGCATCATTCTGT